TTATGTTAGTCAGGGAGCATAAACTTTAATGGAGCATGTTAATCACTGGAAGATAGTATTTATAGAATTTTTTTTTTTAGATTCCCCTCCTGATATTTGCCTTTTTGCATTGTTACGTTGCAGATCAGCCACATCCAACTGAAGGTTAGATGAGAGCTCCTCAATTGCATTGCACAGTTAAATAGATTTTTAAATATGGAAATTTCCTTCATACATAGATCAAGATCTGAAAAACACTGCTAGGGCTAGAACTATAGTTTGAGCTTAAAAAAATGTGGAAAGTTTTCTTGCCTGTTTTACCTTTGACAGTCTAGGAATTGCATGACTCAGGTTGACATTACTTGTGAGTCATACAATTAATTTCACTGAAATGACTTTACTGCAGTGTAAGTTTTGCATATAACTGCTCTTTTGCCTTATAATTTTAGGTTGTCCTCATTAAGAAACATCAAGTCTGCAGCAAAAGCTAATTTCCAAAGCCATTTTGTATTTGGTAACAGTGGTTGAGGGCAGTTCTTCCTTTTCTTTTTTCTTGTCTTTCTTTTCTTTTTTTTAGAATAAGAGGGCAGTACTTTTCAGTTCTTCTTGTTTAGAAGAGTTTTAGTATTCACTCTGAGCTCAAAATAGTCACACCAGACTTTACCACTGCTAAGCTGCTGAACTTCTGTATGGTAGGACAGTTAGGATATTCAGCTTCTATTTTTGCCAAAAATTCATAAGACTGACTTAGGTTAAGTCCATGAGAGACAGACACTGTTGACATTCCCTTGTTCAATCACTTATAATAGGTTCAAACTTACTGCATAGTATTTGCTGGAGAATAACAAAGTGAACAACCGTAGGCCCCAACTAACCCTTTTTTGTCCCTCACATTCATTATAACACATCTTAGTAGATTCCATTTCAGATTGTACTAAAGTTTTCTTAACTTCTTTGAAAATGCTCTAATTTGTAGTTGTTACATGCTAATTCTTCAAACTTGATATTGGCTCTCCAAGTAAACAACAACTGAAAAGTATTGGTAATGTCTTTGGATTCATCAAGAGCCAAGGCATTGCGTTCTTAAACCCTCTTAGTGGCTTCCCTCTAAATGCTTCTAAGATACAAGCGAATGCTATAGAAATTGCAGGGAAGTCCAAAGGGCTGTGCTACTCCTCTGGCTCAGTCTTATTTCATACCTGCAACATCTTTTAAGAGAAATTTGCAAGAGGGAAAATTATCAAATTTAAAAAAATAGCCAAGGAAATCTCAACTCTTCAAGAAGCAAGGAAACCTACTTTCTTTGGGAATGACAGAGGAGGACCCAGTGCAAGTCAGGACTCTACCACCTGGCAGAAACAGGAAGCCCCACCCCATGTGTCGGTGGAGACCATCTGGGGAGTAATAATGAGGCACTCTTCTGTCTCCAAGCTAGGGTTTGTCAGCAGAGGCCCAGGAGGAAGGCCGAATCTCACCTGACAGCAATGAATTGATAACCTTCCTTCCCTACCAGCAGGGTGACAGAGAATATTTAATAAAATCAAAAGAGTCCGGGTGTGGCTCATACCTGTAATCCCAACACTGGGAGGACAAGGTGGGTGGATCACTTGAGACCAGGAGTTTGAGACCAGCCCCAACAACATGGTGAGACCCTGTCTCTACTAAAAATACAAAAACATAAATTAGCCAGGTGTGGTGGCATGCACCTATAATCACAGCTACTTGGATAGCTGAGGCATGAGAATCACTTGAACCTGGGAGGCAGAAGTAGCAGTGAGCCGAGATCATGCAATTGCACTCCAGCCAGGGTAATAGAGACTGTCTTGAAAATAAAATAAAATAGAATGAGACTTAAATAAGATTCAGGATCTTAAAGTATTGAGAATGCCCAGGGTACAATAAAAATCACTATACCAAGAGCCACAAAACTCTCAACTTGAATGAGAAAAGACAGTCAACAGACCCCAGCATCAAGATGACACAGATGATGGAATTAAATAAGATGTAAAGAAGAACCAAATGGATGTCTTAGAACCGAAACATACAATAGCCAAAACAGGCAACTAAATGGATGGTTCTCAGCAGAATGGAGAAGACGGGAGAGAGAATCCGTGAACTTGAAGTTAGAACAGTAGAAATTACCTAAACTGAATGACAGAAACTAGACTTACAAAACAAAACAAATGAACAGAGCCTCAGGATTTTGTGGGATTAATAACAAAAGATCTAACTTTTTTTTTTTTTTTTTTTTTTAAATAAAAGATGGGGTTTCACCATGATGACCAGGCTGGTCTTGAACTCCTGACCTCAGGTGATCCACCCACCTCGGCCTCCCAAAGTGTTAGGATTACAGGCGTGAGCCACCGCGCCCGGCCAGATCTAACTTTCATGTAACCAAAATCCCAGAAGAAGAAGAGAGAGAGGGTGGGGCTGAAAAGTAATTTTAAAAACAATGGTGGCCGGGCATGGTGGCTCAATCCTATAATCCCAGCACTTTGGGAGGCAGAGGCGGGCAGAAGCCCAGCAGTTCAATACCAGACTGGGCAACATGGGAAAACCCCATCTCTACTAAAAATACAAAAATTAGCCAGGTGTGGTGAGGCACGCCTGTAGTCCCAGCTACTCAGGAGGCTGAGGTAGGAGAATCGCTTGAGCCCAGGAAGTTGAGGCTGCAGTGAACCATGATTGTATCATGACATCTCCAAAAAAAAGGCTGAAAAGTTGCTATATTTGGCAAAAGATATAAGTCTACAGATTCAAGAAGCTTAGCGAACCTCACACAACATAAACACAAAGAAATCTGCACCAGGCCAGATGCAGTGGCTCACGCCTATGATCCTAGCATTCTGGAAGGCCTAGGCTCACGCCTGTAATCCTAGTATTCTGGAAGGCCTAGGATCACCTGATGTTGGGAGTTCAAGACTAGGCTGACCAACATGGAGAAACCCTGTCTCTACTAAAAATACAAAATTTGCCAAGTGTGGCAGCACATACCTGTAATCCCAGCTACTCAGGAGGCTGAGGCAGGAGAATTGTTTGAACCCAGGAGGCAGAGGTGTGGTGAGCCGAAATTGTGCCATTGCACTCCAGCCTGGGCAACGAGGGTAAAACTGTCTCAAAAAAAAAAAGAAAAAAATCAACACCAACATCTCAGTATGGATAATAAACTTCCTGGGCAGTCTGGCTATGTCTGTCTGAGTTACTCTTGGACACTGCTTTTTAACACATCACCCTGGAGAGTGGTGTTCCCTGAGTACCTCTCAGTCTCTGGCGGTTGAGCTGTTAGGCAGCAGTAGGGTATGGTTCTGTGAGGGTTTTCCCTCACCTTGAAGCCACTAAACCTTGCCCAAGCGGTCTGTAAACCCGAATAAACCCTGCTCCCCCTGTAGTCAGAGGGTGGATGCCAGAGCCTTGTGTATGTGGCCGTGACGTGCCAGTGACAGTCAGCTAAAGGGCTAAATTATATGTTTTCTCCTTCCTTCCTTGTTACTGCTTTGATTGGGGTGTCTGACTCACCCCAATATCAGTGCTGAGTTGGCTGTTCAAATCTTGTTTACTGACCAGAAGTTGGAAACAGTAAATGCAAAACTGCAAATACTTCCTGGAAGATAACCCGTTCCAGTGTTGCAAATGGTTAAACAGACAGCCCTGTGTTCTTGCGTCATTCTCCCATTGAGAAGCTGGCGAAGCTCCCTCCAGTGCCCCGCAGCCTGTGTGCCCTCTGGTTTATTTGTCCACTTTGCTCGGTGGTATGCAAGACTGGAGGTGCTGCCCTTGATTGCGACCTTGGCCAGAACCAGCCAGCTACCGAAATAGACAAGGAATTGTGGTCAGGCTATACATGCCCAGTTATACCCTTCTCTGTCTGTCTGTTGCATTTAACAATGAAAACTTACATAGAGACCTAATCTATAATAAAAGATCAAGTCCGATCTTCTCCATTTAGAAGTAAGGGAGATCTGTTTGGCTGCTGTTTTGACATATGCCTTTTTCTGTGCCTTTTTTTTTTTTTTTGAGACAGGATCTCACCCTGTTGCCTAGACTAGAGTACAGTGGTACGAGCATGGCTCGCCGCAGCCTCAACCTCCTGGGCTCAAGCGATCCTCCCACCTCAGCCTGCCACATAGCTGGGACTACAGGCGCACACCATCAGGCCTGGCTAATTTTTGTACTTTGTGGTAGAAGTGGGGTTTTGCCATGTTGCCCAGGCTGGTCTCAAACTCCTGAGCTCAAGCAGTTTGCCCGCCTTATCCTACCAAAGTGCTGGGATTACAGGCGTGAGCCAGTGCACCCAGCTCTGTGCCTGATTTTATAGATGAGCACATCAAAGCCTTCTGTTGGTAAGGGGTGTGTCTAGGATCTCAGCCAGCTGGTGTGGGGGGGGCTCTGGCAAGAGCCTGGTCTAGTTCTTGTTTGCTGTTGCGGACCGATACTGCGTTTGGCCCCATGAGCTCTGCCTTGTCCCCTGTTCCTTTTGCTGAAGGTTTACACTCAAGAGATGAAAGACCTTTCAGGGCGGAAGGCTCACACAGGCTCCCAGAACCTCCTTGGAGTGCCTGTAGGGACCACCTGACCTGGAAGAGAGTGGTCAGTCGAGACATTTGGAGTTTTCCCATCAGAGTATTTTGTATAGCACAAGTGGCTCCCAAACTGTGCCAGGGCACTGCAGCAAACTCACAAGTGCCTCATTCTCAAATGCGGCAGACCCTCAAGACTGCTGAACTCCATGCGAAGCGCTAGCTTGCAACAGCTCACATTTCCAGCGTGAGATCTTTGCTGCTACATCTTTGCGAAGCTGGGTTTGCAGTGGTTGTTTGGACCTAACTACTTTATATGTGGAACTGTTAGGCATTTTTTTTTTTTTTTTTTTTTTGGCCTGTGGATACCATGAAAAATTTGCTGAGATACCAGGGGCTCCATGGATGATGAACATTTTCGCTGTTCCAGAGGATCTGTCTCAATAAATAAATAGAACATATGACAAGCCCAACATGCGTTTTATTTATTTATTTATTTGAGACAGAGTCTTGCTTTGTTGCCCAGGCTGGAGTGCAGTGGCACGATCTCAGCTCACTGCAACGTCTGCCTCCCTGGTTAAAGCGATTCTCCTGCCTCAGCCTCCGGAGTAGCTGGGATTATAGGTGCACACCACCACACCCAGCTAATTTTTGTATTTTTAGTAGAGATGGGGTTTCATCACGTTGGCCAGGCTGGTCTCAAACTCCTGACCTCAAGTGATGTGCCTGCCTCGGCCTCCAAAAGTGCTGGGATTACAGGCGTGAGCCACCATGTCCGGCCCCAGCGTGTGTTTTAAATCCTTGCAACTCATGTTTTTGATTTCTGCACATTTTAGATTACACATGTCATAGTGCATTCACCGATTTCCCTTCATTCTCTTGAGTAGTTACTGCGCACTGGATTCTGTGCCGAGGAAGTGTGTGCTGGGGAAGGGCTGGTGGAGCTGAGGTCTGGAGAGTGAGTAAAAGCCTTGAGAGAAAGGGCATCTCAGACACCTGTCGGGCTCTGGGGCAGGACCGCAGAGGTGCGAGCCGGAGAGTGCCTCTGGGTGGGGCTGGAGAGATGGGTGGGCGTTTGTGTGTGCGTCAAGGGGAAAATGGTTATATTTCCTAACCTTGGGGATCACTTGTGGCTTCAGCCCCCAGGCACGCCGCTTGGATCCTGGGATTCCTCCAAGCTTAACCTCCTTTTTGTGAGTCCTTCCTTTCCCACCGCATGCCAGACACAGAGGTGCCTGAGATGCTGCTGTTCCCTCAAGGAGCTCACACCGAGTGGGAGAGACCCATGTCCTAAGTAGAGGGTGGTGAACACAGCCTGCCGGGAGGCTGGGCCTATTTCTCGTTTCACCCCTTGGACGAGCTGCTTACCCCTTGTATTTTCATCTGTAGCTCAGGGCCTTGGATAAAGTGATGGCTGGGTCCTTCCCACCACACATGTCTTTTGTGATAAGTCATTCGATACTTCAGAGTCAAAGCTGCTGGGAACATTCTCAGTCTGTGGAGCCTCCAGGCTGAGCGCTGGGAGTGCCTGGTGTGCTGGTTGGGATGGGGGTTGCTCAGGGCCAAGGCCCACCGCTGTTGCCTGCAGGGAGTCCGTCAGGGCCTCAAGGAGCAGCTCCTGTTGCTTTCTTTGGTGTTGCATGTTAGTTTCCTTAGAGGCACAAGAATGTGTGGTCCTGACTCTGGAACTTGGGGAAGAGCCTGAAAGAAGCTGTGAGTGCAGGCGCTAGAGATGGGCAGCATGAACAGGAGGGGATCGAGTCAGCCTCCCAGACTGTGTCCTGATAGAGCTGCAGTGTGGTTTTCAGATGATGAAGGCATTCCATAGTCCAGGTGCCAGGCACTGCCAATCCAGGTACCCGAAAATCGGAAGGTTCATGCCTTCTGTTCACATGTTTATTCGACAGATTGACATAAATGCTCATTATATGCCAGTCTGTGAACGAAGCCAAGCTCCTGCCCTTGAAGGGCTGACCCTCTAGTCAGGGAAATAGGCGGGGCTGGGGAGAATGTTTAATATCATGTCAGATTAGGGATAAGCTCTGTTGAGGGGTCAGAGGGTGGGGATTGTGGCCAAGGGGTGGTTGTAGATTCTGTCCTCAGACAAAGCCTCTCTGTGATGGTGACATGTGAGCAGAAACTTGAATGCAATGAAGAAGTGAATTTTGCAAATAACATGATGGCTGTGTGTAAAGACCCTGAAACAGAAGGAGGCCAGTATGACCTGTGAGGGGTGAGGGAGGGGAGTGGATTCTAAGGCCCAGGTCATAATGGGCCTTATGAGCTATGTAAGGACTTTAGGTTTTTCTTGGGTCTTTTTTTGAGACAGAGCCTCGCTCTGTGGCCTAGGCTAGAGTGCAGTGGTGCGACCTCGGCTCACTGCACTTGGCTCCTGACCTCATGCTCTGCCCACCTCAGCCTCTCAAAGTGCTGAGATTGCGGGCGTGAGCCACCGCACCTGGCCACTTTAGGTTTTTGTTCTAAGTATGATGTGAAGACATCTCAGGGTTTTGTTGTTGTTGTTTTTGTTTTTTTAAGATGGAGTCTTACTTTGTCGCCCAGGCTAGAGTGCAGTGGTGCGATCTCGGCTCACTGCAACCTCCGCTCCCAGGGTTCAAGTGATTCTCCAGACTCAGACTCCCGAATAGCTGGGATTACAGGCGCACGACATGGCATCCAGCTAATTTTTGTATTTTTCATAGAGACAGGGTTTTGCCATGTTGGCTAGGCTGGTCTCAAACTCCTGACCTCAAGTGATCTGCCTGCCTCGGCCTCCCTCAGTCCTGGGATTACAGGCATGAGCCACCACACTCAGCCCATCTCAGGGTTTTGATCAAACAAAAATCAATCCCAGGATCCCTGGTTTTGATTAAAAAGTCAGGGAGGGGACCTGACCTGATTTTTTAAAGCATCCTCCTGGCTGCTGTGTGGGGAAAGGCCCATCCATCAGGAGTCTCTTACGGTGATCATGCGGGTACAGATGTGCCGCTAACCTCACTCCCAGCATGGCTGATTAATTAATAGAAACCGCCATGAGTTATACAATCAGCCTGGGTCTGTGTCGAGAAACGGACTTGGCTTCATGGGCATTAGATCTCCTCTTCTGGAAAAGGAGGGGACCGGGTCACCTGGGAGTTAGAAGGGAGGAGGCTGAACAGGGAGTGCAAGCCTATCAGCTGCTGCCTTGTGATGGGTGACAGCTAGGGGATTATTTCCTGTGTCATCACGGCACTCCCAGCTGGTTGCAGTCGGCCTCTGAGTATCTGCTGCCTCAAAATTCTGTGGAACAGGTCCTGCTAGCATCCGTCAGAGCAGATCCTAAATGCCCCTCTGTCTGGTTCCATGAGTGTGACCTGTGGCTCATAAGCTTGGCAGAGATCCTGATATGACTAGCATTGAGTAAATATTAAATATGTTGACAAGATTAAATATAAACAGTATTCTTTGGGGACAACAGAATTCACTTTGTCCTTTAATGTCATATCAAAAAAGCTAAATTGAGGCCAGGCACAGTGGCTCACGCCTGTAATCCCAGCACTTTGGGAGGCTGAGACGGGTGGATCACCTGAAGTCAGGAGTTTGAGACCAGCCTGGCCAACATAGTGAAACCCCATCTCTACTAAAAATACAAAAATTATCCAGGTGTGGTGGCCGGTGCCTGTAGTCCCAGCTACTCGGGAGGCTGAAGCAGGAGAATCGCTTGAACCTAGGAGGTGGAGGTTGCAGTGAGTCAAGATTGCCCCATTGCACTCCAGCCTGGGCGACAGATAGAGACTGTGTCTCAAAGAAAAAAAAGCTAAACTGAGATTAACTCAAGCCATTGGAAGAGCATCTCAGATTAGTGAGAAAGGAAAGACCCTGGCCTGTGGGCCTGTTCTGAATGGCCCCTTCCCAGCAGGTTGTGTAGGGGTGGACTGATGCTCACAACCCTCAGATGCCCTGGCTTCCCAGACCAGCCCTGTGGTTTCCTGGTGACAGTGACAGCCATCAGAAGTCAGCTGGAACCTAGTTTCCTATTGCCTAATTGCTGACACATGACTAAGGCATTCCTGATTGCGTGTGGGTGTGGTGAAAGAAACACAGTAGGTCATATCCGTGATTGCAAAATGGAATGCTGTGGATTTCACGTCTGAGCCCAGCCTCCTTGGTAAGCAGCAGAAGCTGATGTTTCATGGACTCTCACTTGGAGCTTTGTTGACTCATGTCAGATCTGCCTACCGGGTGTCAGTGGTGGAAGGACCAGTTGAGCATCTTTCATAGGGACTAGACTTGAGTGACTTGAGGCTTCCCCAAGACCACCTCTGATTCAGTGATTCACCAGGACTCACTGAACTCAGAAAAGCTTTTGCTTACAGTGACAGCTTATTACAGCAAAATGATGCAAATTATAATCAGCAAAGGTCAAAGGCATGTAGGGCAGAGTCTAGGAGAGACCAGGCACAAGTTTCCAGTGGGTGACACGTGTTTCCATCGTTGCTGGTCACACTTAATTCTCCCAGCAACGATGTGTGAGAACACGTGTGAAGACTTGACGCCCAGGGAAGGTCACCCAAGCCAAGGTGTCCAGGGCTTTTATTGGTGGGTCAGTCATGTAGGCATGGAGCGCCTGGGTCTCAAGGCTTACCTACTCCATCTCCAGTACCCACAGACATCAGACTGACACAGCTTGATTCAAAACCCCAGGCACAGGGACTCATGCCTGTAATCCCAGTGCTTTGGGAAGCCAAGGCAGGAGGACTACTTGAGCCCAGGAGTTTGAGACCAGCCTGGGCAACATAGTGAGACCCTGTCAAGAGAAAAAAATTTAAAAATTAGTATGGTGGGGCACCCCAGTAGTCCTAGATGTCCCACTTGGAAGGCTGAGAGGATCACTTGAGCCCAGGAATTTGAAGCTATAGTGAGCTTTGGTTGCACCACTGCACTGCAGCCTGGGTGACAGCAAGACCCTGCGTCTTAAAAACAAAAATGCCCAGGCATTCACCGTAAATCTCATTGTTAGCAGGAACTTCCTTCATGGCCTAAGGTCTCAGGAATACAGAGATACTCTTGCCAGGCAGAATATTTCAAGGCTCGTGAATATCAGGAGCCACTCAAGGGCCAGGACTGGTTTTGGAACATGCAGGGTTTGGGGCATCCCCAGCCAGCCACACAGCTGAGGAAAGGGTTTGCTGCAAAGTGGTCCCCTCTCTCATGGACCCCCGCCCCCACCCTGTGCAGTGTCCTTGTGGGACTGGAGGGTGTTCCAGCATACTGAAAGTCAGTGGCTGTCACTCTCTCTGCAGGGGACTCAGTCCCAGCTGCAGCCTTAGATTGTACCCTAGGACCACCCTGGGCTGGTGCTGACACCACTGGGGGCCGTCTGTTGTATCAGCTCCAGTCCAAGGCTGTGGCTGTCTTGGCAGGAACCTGGCTGTGTGAGCCCCTCCTCCTACCCAGCCCCAGGGGCATGTGGCCCAGCATTCAGGTGGCCACCCCAGCCAGCCTTAGGGGCACCCTGCTCCCCCTTGCTGACATCTGCTGTGTCTCTCTCCTGACAGTTTCATGATCAACATGGGGGACTCCAACATGGACACCAGCTCCACTGTGTCCGAGGCAGCGGCCGAAGAAGTGTCTCTTTTCAGCATGATGGACATGATTCTGTTTTCACTCATCGTGGCTCTCCTAACCTACTGGTTCCTCTTTAGAAAGAAAAAAGAAGAAGTCCCTGAGTTCACCAAAATTCAGACATTGTAAGTGCCTCCTCTCAATCCCTCTTCTGTCACCATTCCAGGCAGTGTGCTGCACGTGGACCGCAGGCTGAAAGAGGCAAGGTTCCTTGTAGCATTTTGGGGCAACTCTTGGGTTTTGCCTTCTTGCTAGATTGCGCTTCAGCTCTCCCTTAATAATCTCTTTTGTGGGTTTTCTGAGAGCCTTCTCTATCTGCTGTTTATTTGCCACAGAAGGCATTCCGAGAATGACACCAGTTTACAGATAAAGAACTGGAGGCTCAAGGATGTTAATGGGCCTGCCAAGGCCATCAGCAAGCAACAGCAGCGCTAGAGCTGGAAGCTTTT